ATATATATATATTTTTTAATTTTTCCCCTTCCCATTATAAAATGATTCTGAAAGTTTGCAGTTTCTTTACCTTTTTTAAAAGGGACATTTTTGTTGTTGTTGAAAACGCTCTCGCTTTAGTTTTGGATTCTTGATTTGTTTTGCTGATAGAGTGTATAATCTTTCCATATTTATGTTTCAAATCGTAGACTCGGGAAATCGCAAAAATGCACGGAGAGTATGATGGGGAAATTTTTTTTAACTCCAACCATTATTAATTGTTTATCTCCTGGAAAAATAAATCACGTGACTCGCTTTGAAACTCAGAAAAATTAAATCCAAAGTCATTAAACCTGCTGAATGAAAATAGTTGTTGTGAATGACAATGAGTTTCCAAAAAATATCATACTTTTAAATGCTTTTTAGTGAATTCACTTTACTTTTATAAATCACCCTCTATTTACAGTTGTACGAAAAATAGGAAAATTTCTATATCTCTCTATAGCTTAGATTTTCCCGTTGTAAATGGTAAAATTAATTTTTTTGAAGGAAGCTATAATGTGTATTGCTATGGTTACAGTTATTATTTTTCACCTCATTTTGCCAAATATGCAATAAATAAATGAAACAAATAAAAATGAAGTTTTGGATAGTTATCATACTAAAATAAAATTATTATTGCCAAATGGAAATGATAATCAGAATTGGCATCAAGGTGAACGACACGGAGAAATATTTCATAGAAGGCCAAGCCCCACCCAATGATGACGATAAAACGCAAAAAATGGATTTTGTTTTTAAAATAAAAATATATATACTATGAAATTTAAAAAAATAACTAACTATAACAATGAAATTATGAATAAAAATGACTTAAGTTAACTGAAACATAATGCACTTAGTGATCAGGTCAATTGAATAACGACAAATTTTTTTTATTCAAAAATGCCAACATTTTAAACTTTTCGAAACATTTATAGTAATTGCAAAATCACGAGGAAAGATAATTACTTTGAATGATAAACATGGTAATGTATATACTGTGTGTTATAAAAGGAGTTTAGAAAATTATTAGAGCTACTACAGTGAAACTAGCGTAAACTGATCACAAGTTATGGTTTTATAAGAGAAGCCATCTTATAAAAATGATAATAAATTGTTTTTACCAGTTTTGTACTTGATCATCAAAATTTAGATAGGTGATTAATTTATAGACGTGGTCAACTTAAAGGCCTGTTTAGACGATCCAATTTCTTGGACAGAGATTGATTGATATTGATGGAAACTTGTTTTGCTTTGAGCTTGGATCGTGTAAACAAACATCCAAGAACTTGGTCCAACTTCTTGGACGATAGTAGAGCATGTTCTACTTTCCATCCAAGTTTTTTCTCCCTTAACCAATCAGCGTCTTAGGTTTTGTGACGTCAGCAAGCTGGCAGCAAATTATGTCATTTTGTTGTGGGTTTTCATAGATTTTAGTCCAAATAAATTGATCTGTTGAGGTTTATTTGTGTTATTATGATTTTATTTGAATTTATTTAGTAATTTTAAACTTATGTAAGTATTAT